TATAGCATCAGACCTCACTTTTTTTTATGTTCCCAAAATGCTAAGTGATAGTTCATTCTCAATTACACTGCTCTACCGTATAAAAAATCCACAGCACATACATAAATATTTTACTGAGTGCAATATCTCTCTTTGATTTCTCAAAGAAAGAATGTAGCACCTACCATCAACCAAGCTCTCAGTATTTGAGTAATCCGAGAATGTGATAGTTCTAAGAAAAGCACAGATGTGATAATTCTGAATAATGCACCTAAATGCTTCAGAGGGGCAGAATTTAAGACCCATTACTATCGACTAGATTCAACAACACCCCACTACAGAAACTGACTTGCATCTGTAGGAGTTATAGATGCTTTAGTGAAAGATTACACACATTCCTAAAAACTTGAACCACTGGGGAGAGTTGAGGATTCATAAAGCAAAGAAACAGACTCAGTCTTAAAGCTGTGTTGCAACCTAAAGGAGCTGCTGAGGTGCAGAAATGTGCAAGATATGCAGGATTTGATATGTAATTTTACCTCTTTAGACAATGCTGGAAAGGATAACATAGGATAGTCATCTGAACAAATGCAAGGATGGAAACAACCAGCTGAATATAAATTTTACAGAAAAGAGCTCCAGAATCTACTGTGAATTTTAATCTAAAACTGTGTGAAGTGCTGTGCTGCTGCAAAAATCAAATATGTTACCATAAGGGATAACAAGAATTGGGCAGTAATTCTTATGCTCTGTTAAGCATTAGGAAGGTCTTAACAGGTCCTAACAGAAGTCTTGTGTCCTATTTTAGTTAGGAGATTTAGTTTCTACTGGTAAGGATAGCTAAGCATTACCTAGGGAGGTGAGAGACTCTCCAGTGATGGAAGTCTTTAAAAACAGGTTAGATAAACCTGGATAAAAAATGCATATACCTGATCCTGCCCTGGAGCACTGGATGAACTGGATGACTGCCTAATATCTTTCCAGCCCTGTTTTGTATGGATGTCATGAATTTTAGAATTATGTGAATAAAACCTACAGTTCTGGTAGGATATTGTAATATAGCAGAAAATACAGAAAAACAGGAAACTTGATGTTGAAAAAGTCATGTTTTAGTAAGACATTTAAAAGAACTTATGTTACTTTTCTCAAGAGAAGTTGAAAAGTATCTTGATTATTGCACTGAAGATGAAAAGTACTTCTAAAGAAAATGTTAGTTCTGAAACCTTCTTAGATAAGTAGAGAAATACAACAACAATGAAAGGATCACTAATTAGAGGCTGAACAAGTTCACACTGGAAATAATGCCAAAGTGTTAACAAGATGTCAACCACTGAGGCAAACTAGTAAAAACCCACACGAGGGTTATAAAGCAGAAACCTTTCTGAAAGATGTGGTTTTGGGAAAGATATGATGCACAAGTGAAGAAATGCATACATTTTGGTATGATGGATTTCAGATTTGATTATCCAATGTTATCTTTTCAGTTTAAGTGCTACTCAATCTGTAAAACCCTTCTTCTCTGAAATTCTTTGTTGGGTTTAAGTTTCAATTTTCTGATGTCTTTTATGACTATAGCGATATCTACCACTTCATATGCTAGTTTCCTTCCAGGAATAGACAAAAAATAATAGAAACATATAGTATAATCTGATAAGTTCTACATAGGTTGCTCTGAAAGTAATGCCTCTTATTTATTTCCACTACAACAGATACAAAGAGCAAAATAACTATTTGAAAAAATAAATTCTCATCTCTAAAACACTATTTTTCATCTTAGTCACTAACATTAGCAATGCATTTTCACCTGCTATGTGTGCCTAATTCATAAAAATTTTCACCGGTAGAGGTGACCCAGTGTTTCACTGAAATGCACATTCCATCACCCCACTGTTCTTGTATCTACTGTTTTGTCCCCATAAATGTTCAGTAAGCATTCATGAATGTCAATGGGAGCCATTTTTTCTGCATGGAGGAGTTCAGTGACACACCTTTGCTTCATATGCACTTCCATGTCAGATGCCATTTTGTCAGAGTGTCCCTCTGCTGCTATCTGTCACAGAAACAAAATGTAATGAAACTCTGGTGGGAAGGTTCAGTCTCTACTGATGTACCATCACTATCTGCCTTTAACACTGTGGGCCTCCTATTTTAATAGCAGACATTACTTTTGAAGCAGCCCTGGTATATTTTGTGATGATAGACTATGTCAATCATAATTTATAGAACATAAAAGAACTGTTTGCAGGTTATTGAATAAATCGTCCTGTTTTGGAAAAAAAAGAAAAAGAAAAGAGGTCATATGCTTGCAAGGAAATGAAGGACTTCAACCTGCCTGGAACTTTCCAATATTTAACAGATTATATTTGCTCTTTCATTTTCTTTTGTCTCAGCATGGGTCCCATTATAGGGAAAATGAAATTGGGCCTAGAGGGAAAAAATAAATAAGTAAAATCCTCTATAATTGGCATTGGTTTCATTGGCACTGGAAGTTTGCAGGTTTTCTTTCAGGATCAGGTCTTTACATTTTATGTTCATCTTCCTGGCTATATGTCTGTAAGTCTAATTAGTCTGTAAGTTGAAAATGACAGCAGGGGAACTATTTTTTCTGAAAGAAAGAAAGAAAGAAGGAAAGAAGGAAAGAAGGAAAGAAGGAAAGAAGGAAAGAAGGAAAGAAAGAAGGAAAGAAAGAAGGAAAGAAAGAAAGAAAGAAAGAAAGAAAGAAAGAA